GCCGATTCTGTAGGAATTCTAGTGTTTACTTTGTCGAGCCCCATAGACCGGTAGAAATTAAGCTTGCGTTGTTTTTATCTGCGTCTGACTGTGCGAAAATAACACGGCTGAGTGTGAAATTTAGTGAAGAGGGTTGTCTTATCGGATCGGTAGTGGTGGGAGTGGAACTGAAGATGATTTGATGGTGTCCTTAAAATTCAGCTGAAATCTGTGAAGGGGAAGTTACCTCTGTCCCATCTGGTATCTTGGGAGCAAGAGGGGTGAGATGTGCCTCGAAGTAGACGGATATACTTGTAGAGGAAAGATCTGTTGTTTTGAGCCCGTTCAAGTAAAGCTCTTTGAGTGCGCAGTTTGTATTTTCTAAAATTTGAGCAGCAGAGGTTTCTGAGCATTTTGAAGGCTAGTACATCAGCTTCGAGTCCCGTTTGCTTGTATCTTGCAAACAGTCTAGACTGCTCGTCTAAAAGCCTGCGGATGGGACGAGGGAGAGGTGGTTTGGAGCTAGAGCGTGCGAGAACACGGGGGACGAAGTGCTCTTCAGCTGAAGTGACAATTTGTTGTATATGTTCTTTGAGGTTGTCTACGAGCAGGTCCAGAAGAGGGCTGTTAAACTATGCCCCAAGAAACTCTCTTAAGAAACTGAAGTTGGTACGCCTGAAGGGTCTGACCCTTTGTGGGCACTCCATTGTGGTGTTAAACTACAAAATGTAGTAAAACAGCAGGACTACAAAGTCACTTTTTCTGAGAGATGGAAGGTGATTTACCGCGTCAATCTGGTTTTCTTCATTTGTTATTATTTGATTTAGCAATGAAGGAGCCTGACAGGGACGGAACCTCATAGGTTGATTTCCGTTTTGACTTCAGGAGTTTTCTATTACTAGATGGATAAGAGGACGGCCAAACAAATGACCGGAAGAATATGCTCTGATCCAATCAGACCCAAGGTTTTGAAGTCACCAGTAATTAGAAGGTGGGTGAAACGATGGGTGCCAATTATTGACTTTAACTGATCAATGAGTAGTTGGCTTTCGATGGGGGAACTCTGCGGGGGACGGTACACGACTCCAAGTAGGAGTGAAACAGACCTTGAGAGTTTGAGTTTAACCCATAGAGTATCTATTGGTGTATTGGGTCGACTGGACTAAGAAATGGAGGAGGGAGAGCACAACTAGAGTAAGCTAGAACACCACCTTTGCCAAGGGCTGAATCTGTTCTTATCAGTGTATAACAGGGAACGGAGATTTCCTCGTCTGGAATATTGTCGATCAGCCAGGTCTCAGTAAGTGTGACAACATTGAGATGTTGCTCTATGGTAATTTGCTTTGATTCTAGACCTGTGTAATAATAGTGATCATGATAACAATGGTGTATTTCACTCAGCCCAGTAAAAAATACACAAGCATGATCATATGTATAACACGGTCAACTGTATAAGAAAAGTGCAAAAGATGTTTGAAAGTCACAGTTCACTGTTGCATAGAGGAGAGAACTAGAGAGAGCTGAACGAGATAAGACACTGCAGTACAAAGGAAACACAAAGCGGAAATGGTCGCTGAGGAAAATGGTGAAGATGACGGAGTGCTCTAATAGAACATGTCAGTGGAAATAGAACAAAACAGGAATCGTTATACCAGATAA